CTCTCACGGTTTCCAAAGAACTTGTAGCCTGCTCTGTACGTTGAGTCTGGCCGTCATTTTCCCAAGCCTTCAGGTATATATTATTTCTTTAATCTTCAATCTAAAGCTAAATAACTATATATATACAGCCAGTAAAACTCTTGGGACAGTTAAAAGAAATAAAAGTGTTTGAAAATGCATAAAAGTGTATACTTATAGTATGCATTTGCTATATAAGATTTTTAAAAATCTGACTGAAGAAAAATTTTAACAATCATTAGTATTTCAATATTCATTATTTTATTAGCCAATTTTTATAGCACTGGAATAATCTAAAAAGAAATCTAGAACGAAATGATGAATAATCATTACTAAATAAGATGCAATTTGTATTAACCAAATATGATAAAATCCCAGACTATATTAACTGAAAATAAGTTAAAAAGACTATTTTTCTTAAAATTTCATTACCTAAAAATATCTGAACACTTTAACAACTAGTAATAATGCTTTCTTTTGCAACTTTAAATGGCTGTTTTCTTAGTATTTATTGCTTATTTATTTCATATAGAGGCTAAAAAAACTTTTTTAATAAATGTTTTATTTATTATTTTTCATGTTACATCACAATGTTTATTAAAATACTTATTAAACAATTAGTAAGTAGTTTATAAATACTTAACTTATTTAGTATAAGGTAGGTTAAAATGCAATTAAAAGTACTTATTCAAAATACTTATAAAAATTAAATACTTAATAAATATAAAATTTAATATTAATCAAATATTTAAATTTTAATTGCTTTAAAAATATTAAATATAAATACTTATTTAATATTGCTATTTAATTGGTATAAGGTTCTGTTTAGACCAACATCCTGATGTACTTAATAGCAAAAGTTCATGTAATAGTTTATTGAAAAAAGACTCTTAAAAATCAAATCAGTGAATATGATATTTTATTATTAAATATAATATATATTTAGTATTAATATATATAAAATTAAATAAATTTCATATAGTTTAAATATTTTTAATAACAAGCTACTATTGTAGTTAAAAATGTCTAAAGCTAAAAATTAAAAATCTTGAACTAAAAATATTAACCTTACCAAAATTTACTTGAACTCTTTTATTAATTTATTAAAAAAACTAAAAAGATGTAATCAAATTAATATTGAACCAGTTTAATAACAGCCCTGGCCTAAACTATATACTAATTCTCGAAATGATAATATAAGGCACAAACAAATATATGAAGACTATGCGACCGGACGAGCCGGATCAATGGACATTATTTGATTGGTCTCACTAGGACCAGATAACCATACTATATAGTAGTAATAATAAATAACTAAGGCAAATATAGTAATAAATTTTATTACGAAAAATTTCGTAAAACTACAAGATCTAATTTCAACTTCACGAATGACATTAATACTACGGAATGAATTAGCAATGGAAAATAATAAAGACAAATATTACTATTGTAACGAATATACTTGCATGGTGTCAAGTATGACTATTTAATAGTCAACCACTTATCGACCCGACCGGCCACTCAAAAAAAAAAAAACATTCTTATGATCCGGTCCCAAACATTCCCTAATTGTTCTAATTGATCATTTCTTTTAAAAGTCCATATCTACACCCACACCAGTATTTCCAATAGGAATATTGTCTCTGGCCGAGGGTATACCTAACGGTGTTTGTTCTTCCATCGGTTTCTGTTCTCTGGGTATTACAAGTGCTCTTGCACGACCAAGTTCTTCCTAATTATTTCGAATGATGATGTAAATTAAAAACATCATTCAAAGTATCATAAACTTTCATTGATCTAATATTTAATATTATAACCTACCACAAATTTTTGTTTAAGGTATCCAACTTCCGTGATCAGATCATTTAATGCCTTTGCCACCATCATATCTGGTTTAGTATCATTAGTAGTTTGAACTTTCAAAATTACATTATGTTCTAAAGGATGTGGGACTCTGTAACCAGCAAATATGACTTGTGGTTCTTCCAAAAGTTTACTGAATTGAGGTGAATTGATGAGTAAATAGAACGGAATATATAGTCCTTAAATATTTTGGAAAATGACGTAGACAATTACTATCGCATCAAATTGCCCATTGTGTGATCTTCTCTAAGGATTTCAAAGGTTGCGCCATTTTCAACCTTTGGATCTGGTGTAATGGTCATCCTTAGTAACGTAGAGTAAGGAAAAAAAAGACGAATGGCAAATTAGTTGCAAAAGGTAAATTCTAAATTCTATTTGAATTTTCAATGTGAATTCTAGGGCATGGTAAGCTATAAAGGCTTACTTCTTTGCACCTGGAGGAAGATAAAACAAATCGAAACGATCCGGTGCATTCATCTTGCTAATCTAATAGTTCCAACGAGAGTAGTGTAAGGGTGTAAGGGTTAAAAGCAAATACGTATTTATGTAACAATAAGTTGCATCTGATTTTCACCCAAAGTTTCTATTGGTTAAATCAATAAATTATTAGACAATACCTAAATCAACGTTTATGGAAAACAACAATGGAATTGTTTAAAATACTCTTAATGGAAATTTTATTAATGAATTGTGTTGCCAAAAGATATGTATTTCTTTGTCTAAAAGTTAATGATATTTATATTACAATTTTAAAAATTACTTATTTAAAATCCGATTTATACTAATAAGATCCTCTGTGAGCTCATTCTAAATCATATATCTGTATCAATAAGTATGTTGCTATTTTATTACGATAAGGCCTTTTTATAAACAAATAATCGGAATATGTTACTAGATCTACGATAATGCACCAAACAGGATTGAAGTAGCTTTAAATACTCTAAAAGTGCATTAAATGTGTTATAACGGTGTCGATGTTGTATAAACAATACGTTTGACGTCGAAAATGACATTGATGTGTAAAGTAAAATGGGCTAAACTCCTTAATTAAGTTCTAAAGATTGTAAATAGATAAAGAACTAGTGTCCAGCAACCAGATCAATAACAAAGTGCTATATTAAATGTATATGTTTTTTACTAAACAGTGCAGAAAATTGTTCAAGTGAAAAAACCAATGAATAATGCGCGAATGCTTAAGGAAAATTAAAATGGAATTGGTATTGTCCCTCACTGCTTTCGCCACTACTAAACGGAAAACCAGTAAATGGAAAACCGCCAAATTGCTGCATAAATGGATTATTGTCAGAATAGAAGAACGGTGAGCCACCACTGTTTGGATCGTTTGGATCTTCACCATTATCAAATCTCGCTCGTAATTCTAATAAAGTAAAATTTTTGTTTAGTATGTTTAGCATAAATAATTTAAACAACGATAAGTTATATTTGGATCAAGATTAACAAGATTTACCATCATCACTCAAGAGTTCATAAGCTTCATTTATAGCACTCATTTTAACGGCAACTTGATCCGGAGATAAATCACCTTTGTATTTGTCAGGATGCCATTCTTGTGCCAATTTTCGATATGCTCTTTTGATTTCTTTCTTATCCGCTTTCCTTGAAACACCTAAAATTTTGTAATAATCTTTCTTCTTAGACTGTTTGAGCATACGATCAGCTTTTAAATAGCCTTGTTTAATACGATTGTCAAGTCCTTGCGTCAAATCATGAGCTTTTTTGTAATCATTTAATGCTGCTTCATAATCTTCTTCTTCTATTAATACTTCAGCCCGATTAATCAGTGCTTCTACATTATTTTCATCTAGCTTCAAAGTGTTACCACACCATTTCAACGCTTTTTTATATTCTCTTAACTATGATAAATAATAAAATAATAATATAGTTAATTACTAATTCACAAAAACGTTCTAGCGTTACCAACCCGAAAAAATTTCGTTAACCATCGTTAGTGATAGAATTTAAGTAACAATTTATCTTAAAATTTATTTGGTCATATAGCAAAATTTTTTTAAATTGGTAATGCTAGGACAATTAATCCACAATGCAGTTTAGTGATAAATAAGGGTGTAACTTACCTCTTTATATGCTTTACATGTCCATCCGTATAATTTTGCTAACAATTCATTTCGTTGACGACCTTCGTTCAAATTCTGAAGTTCTTCTTCAATTTCATTTATAAGGCCTTCATTTGGTGGTTCTAACAACTTACTTATTGCTTTCTTCCATCTGTGTCCCTCAATATCATTATTAACTCTATCCACTGCTTTTTCAATCTTTTTAATAAATCTATGAAGTGTTTTACATGCTTTGTGCTCGGGATCATAACGAAGGCATTGTTTAAGACTTTGAAGTGCTTGTTCCGGGTTATATAGCGAAAAATAATTTAGTAAACATAGGCGTATCGAAAGTTCCGGGTCATCAGGCTTCAATTGCGAAGCAGAACTAAAAAATAAAATAAAATAAAAATAATAATAATAAAAAAATAAATATAATAAATAAAAAAGAAATAGAAATTCATCCAAACATGCAATGCAAGTAAATATACACATACGACAAGTCCCGAACCCCCTCTTCCACTTCTCCCTTTGCTAAATGGCATTGTGCTCTAGTTAACCTTAGACGTGGAGAATGTGGAGAAATTTTTATCGCCTTGAAAATGTTTTCTATACACGCTTCATGACTCTCAGACTTAATAGCCTCTTCAGCTGTATTTATATGAGTCTCTGCTGAATTAACTGATACAAGCTATTTTTTTTTTTTATGAAATAATTATTAGCTACTTATTTAATTAAATACAAAATACGTTAATTGGAATGAATATATACCAATTTTTGACCTTCAATATCTTGTTCGTTTTTTTGTAGGTATTGTTGCAAATCGGCTTTAGCTTCACTTAACGATCCTTCCTTTATATATATTTTAGCACGTTGTAACAGTGCCTAATATCGAGAAAATATAAAACCAGTTAATAAATAATAAAAATAATTATTATTATTGTCTATTTAGAGATAAAATACTTTGTCAAAATCAGGCTTCAATTTTAATATTGTAGTAAAGTCCTGAAGGGCAGAGGAACTTCTTTCTAAAGCCAAGTACGTTAAAGCACGTTTAAAATAATATAAATAGTCATTTGGATTTTGATCTATAGAAAGGAGGTACGTATATGTTAGCACGCCATAAACCGTGGTCAAGGATCATTGAAAAAAGGTAAGTGACTTTGACTTACTAATAGCGGCAACAAAGCTTTTCACGGCTTCGTCGTACTTTTGGTCAGCAAAGAATTCATTCCCTTCGTCAAAGTATTGTTGTGCCGACTTGTCACAAAAAACAATTGAAGTTGTGGACAAGAATAGTGGAAGGAACGCAAAGACGAGACAATGAATTTTCATAATCTTTGTCTTTAAAAAAAAACAATTCTACAGTAGGTTATTAAAGGGAATAGTATGCCCAACAAAACAGGAAGGTGAACAGGTGGTGAAGAAAATTAAACAAAAGACATGAAACCGCCGGAGTTCAACAGCTTCGTCGCATTTATATAGTAAAACAGGTTTTGGATTGTAACCATGTTTATATACCAATTTTTTTTTTTAATGTGGAAAATATCGATTGGTTGCAATTTGGCATAAAAGTATTGGCTATGAATCCGAGCTTTCCAGGACAATCCGGAAATGATTAATTTTGATCTAAAATCACGATCAAACAATAAACGTAGCTACATTAAAGTAAATTTTTGGAATTACTGTATCGGTATTATTACCATTGAAAGCTTTCTATATATAAAAAAAATAGATCCAAGTGCTAATACTTTCTGTATATAGTTAAATATATATATATACGTACAATTTAATTACGTACGTACCAAATACGTATTAAAGACGATAATATACTTCTAATTGTTCTGAATTTTCTTTGATCACAGTGATGAGGCGTCGATTGAAAGTATATATATATATTTGTTAATTTTTAGTTGCATTGCAAAACTATTGAATTAAGTTGCTTGCTTAAGTATTTATTAAACCTAATTTTTTTTTTTTTTAAGCTTTGCCTTGATTGTCAGGCAACAATTACAAATTTGAGATTCTGATCTTACTAAAACTAATTTTAATATATTAGCCAAATTTAATAAAGAGGATTGCTAATCTTAAACGGGGTGGGAAAGTTGCATCTAGTGATCAAAGATTTTTCGTGATATACTTTACAGAAACATCAACTTTAATATTACTTGCGATTAACTACAGTATATAGTTACTTTATAGTTAATTGCAAGTAGCATTAAAGTTACAGATTTGCATGCTTCTGTAAAGTAATCTATGATGATACTACGTATATATATATATATATATATTTTCTTAGTTCTTTTAACATTTCAACTCTTTCTAAGTGGATCTAGAAAAAAATTTACTGTTAAAAAATTTAAAATCCTGTATTTAAAAAGGGTTTGCATTTAGAAAAAAAAACAAAATTTATATGTTTTATATTATAATTTGCAGTTAAATACTTTGTATTGTACGTATAGCTAACAACTTAACATTAATAACATTATACAAAAAAGGTATTTGCAAATTAAAAAAAAAATATTTACTGCATTAAAGTTAGGGATGTTATCTTGCTTCGTGTACTAAAATAGTTTTTCAAATATATATATAGTTTGTTAAAAATAGATTAATTTCTTGTGCTAAGTAACTTTATTCGAAAGGATATTAATGACAAGTTTGATTAGTGCCAAAGAATTAAAATCATACTCGAAACGAATAATTGCTTCCAAGCAATTTTAAGCAAACCGGTTTCATAAACAGAGTTTCTAAGCATAAAATAAGAACTAAAAAATATTTTTTTGAATGCTAAACATTTTACTTAGTACGTATATCCAGCCTTGGTTATTTGAACAGTTTTTGAAATACAATCACTTTGACATTGAACCTAGCTGCCGCACCAATTTTGTCACGGATGATTCTTGATTTTGATTGGCTAAGAGCGACGATCAATAATT